GCTGCTCCATTCAGAGTGAATAAGTATCCAGACATGGATTTATAGTCGTCTTTATCAGACTGAAAACCAAAATCAGTAAAGCATTCTAGTTTCAATTCTCCATTGCCATATACCATAAAGATATCCTTAGTCCTTCGTAAGTACCTAAGAATCATCTTAACGGCTTTCCAGTGTTCTTCACCTAGATTAGACTGATATCTGCTCGTTACACTAAGTGCATGAGCCACATCGGGTCTTGTACATAACATTGCATACATAATGCTACCAATAGCTGATGCATAAGGTATATGACTCATCCGTTCTCTTTCTTCAGGTGTCTTTGGAGACATCGTTTTAGAAAGTGAAACCCCATGACTCATTGGAATATATCCACATTTGGATTCTTTCATACTAAACCTTTTTAGTACCTTATTTATGTACATAGACTGAGATAGTCCGATCATCCTTTTGAATCTATCTCTATAGATTTTTATCCCTAGGATAAAGGATGTTCTCCCAAATCTTTCATGGAGAACTGTTTATACAACCATGTCTGTGTTGATTGTAACATTCCTATATCATTCCTAATGAGTAGGATATCATCAACATATAGAACAACAAATGCAACTGCATTCCCACTAACCTTCTTATAAACACATGGTTCATCCGGATTCTGATGAAAATCAAACGTTTTGATCGTTTCATCAAACCGAATGTTCCAACTCCTTGAAGCTTGTTTAAGTCCATAAATGGACCTTTGAAGCTTACAAACCATTTGTTCGCTCCTACTGGATATGAAACCCTTCGGCTGTTTCATATAAATATCTTCCTTAATGTTTCCATTAAGAAAAGATGTTTTCACATCCATTTGCCATATCTCGTAGTCATAATACGCAGCTATGGCTAGAAATATCCGAATAGATTTAAGCATTGCTACTGGTGAAAAAGTTTCCTCATAATCAATTCCTTGTTTTTTGAGTATAACCTTTAGCAACCAGTCTTGCTTTAAAAGTATTTACTTCTCCATCTCCACCACGTTTTCGTTTGTAAACCCATTTACAACGTATGGGTACAATACCCTGTGGTGGTTCAACCAAAGTCCATACTTTGTTTGAATACATGGAATCTATCTCAGATTGCATAGCTTCTTGCCATTTATTTGAGTCAATGTCCGACATTGCCTCATCATAGCTTATTGGATCATTATCCAAAAGGAGTCCCTCTTCATTGTTCTCTAACAATAGGTATAGCCTCTCAGGCGCCCTAGAAATCCTTTTAGATCTCCGAAGAGGTTGTGTTACAGATGGTCCAGTCTCTACTGGTATATTATTTGTGGTATTTTGTGGAATTTCTTGTGGTTCTTCATAAGTTCTATGACTCCACTATTCTTTGAGAGAAACTCTTCCTCTAAGAAAACAGCA